TCCCTTCCTCCCTTCCTCCCTTCCTCCCTTCCTTCCTCCCTTCCTTCCTTCCTTCCTGCACCTACCCGCTTCTCTTCACACTGAGGTGTACCTTACCAGGATCAGATTTCTTTAGTTCCAAACCTATCATCCTAAACTTTCTTATACTGCAATTTGTAACTTAATGAAATGTAGTTATGTAACTGATTATGAGTGTGAAAAGAAACCTACTGTCAGGAAAACTTACATGGAGAGCTTTGGGAAACTCAGTAAAAGTGAGTGGTTATAAATAATCATTCTGTCAATCATAGTGGCACACAACTATGATCCCAGCACACAGGAAGCTGAGATGGAGAATCAAATCTTTGGGGTTAGTCTGGGCTACATAGTAAGACACACCTCAAAAAACAAAAGCAGATAACAGCAAGAATATTCTAAAGTATGGTTTCTTACCACAGGTCCGCTGAGGGCATCTTGGAGAGCCTTACATGAACCTCTTCAAATTTCATAAAAATATTCACTATGAAATTTGAACTGGTCCAGTTCAAAGGTTTGTGTTAGTTAACCCTCTTCTCTCCACAAGACAAAATATTTAATAATACCTTCCTCATGCAGCTCCTTTTAATCCTTCATGAATTCATGTCATTGATATTTGTGAATACTGCTGTGCCTGAAGTATTCTCATCAGTGTGGAACAGGAATCCGATGTATACAAATGTCACTTACATTCCATATGTAAAAAGGCTCACAGATCCTGAGACCGACCAGTTACTTATTAGGATGCAAAGTTCCACGATCACAGTGCTCGGTGCCAAAGGGTTACTGCTAAGTTCTCCTCCCAGCTCTCAGAATGCCCCATCCTGCAAATGGAGTGACCTCAGTGATGTGATACAGGGCACGGGAAAGATGCAGAATAGGAGTCAAATGCGATCAGTTTATTTAGAGAAGAATTAAAAGAGCAATATGCACCACACAGATTCAAACTCCTTGTTGATTGGGCTGGGAAGATGGCTCATTTGGTAAAGTGCCTGCTGGGTAGCATGAGGGCCTGAGTTCGGATCCCAGCACCCGTCTAAAAGCCTGGCACTGGTATGTATCTCTAACCCAGCATTGGAGGTAGGTACCGAGACGCTTGTTCACTAGACCAGCCAGAAGCCTATCAGTGAGTCATGGTTCAGTGGAGAGCACTAGACAAAGACACCTGATAGTGACTTCTGGTCTCCTAATACACCACACACACACACACACACACACACACACACACACACACTCACCTGTTCACTCTAGACCTATGCCTTTTCAGTTTATCCTCAGTTCTAGCTAATGTTGTATTTGAGCATTTATCTCTTGACTCTCCCTCTCTCCTCAGCGTCTCACTGTAGCCCAGGCTGACCTTGAACTAGCAATCTTCCTGTCTCTACCAGCTCCTGAGTGTTGGGATTACAGGCATGTGCCAGCATGTCTAGCTGAGACTTACCTCTCCAGCCATTCTCTAACAATGCGTTAAAGTTCCTATCTGGGAGTTGTAAGAAGGTTCTGGTTGACAAAAAAAAAAAAAAAAAAAGGCTAATCAGAAGCATCTCAATAAGCAATAATAACAAAATAATTTTAAAAGAATATAGCATTTGAGACCATGAAAAATACATTGTTAGCTTGTGGTTGATATGTGTGAGACAACCACTAACCTGACTGATAGCAAGGATGTTAAAAAGTCAAGACAAGTGAGAGCAATTTTGTACTGTAAAAAATATTCTAAAATGCAAGTAAGAATACTAGTGGTATATGGAAATGTTAAGATGGATAAAGGAGATAACATTGTTGGTAAGGAGTTTTCAGCTAAGTATTACAGTGTTTCAGATAAGATTAGAAAAAAAACATTAAAAATGTAGCCTGTAACAGTGACTCATTCACATCAGCATTCTAAATCAGAGTGGTACTGAAGGGACATTTTATTCAAAAACTTGGAAATTTCCCCACTGGTACGGTTTGTTGGTTTAGCATTTTACTACATTAGAGTAGCAATAACCATGATCATCTGAGACCCTACTATGCACCTGGTGCAGATTAAAGGCCTTTGAATAATCAGAACAGTTTATTATTTTATTTTATTTTGAGACAGGGTTTCTCTGTAGCCCTGGCTGTCCTGGATCTCTCTATGTAGACCAGGCTGGCTTCAAACTCACAGGGATCCCTGTCTCTGCCCCCTGAGTGCTGGGATTAGAGGTGTGGGCCAGCACCGCCCGGCAATCAGAACAGTCTTATTCGATGAGTGTTTGGTAGCTGCAGAAAGTGAGGCTTAGAGAAATTAAACAACTTCCTGTCATCATGCAGCTCACCCTAGGAGTTGCCCACTGGTCGGTCAGATCACTGAAAGGATGCTGTGCCTCTACTGCTTTCCCAGCCTGTGCTGCCTCCCAGACTTTGCCCAGATGTGTATTTAAGCTTGAGTCAGAGAGAAATTTGCACATGAAAGAAGTGTTTTTACTTTGTTTATCAAAAGCAGTTGTCTTCGGATACGAGCGCAGTTGCGGTGAGGTCAAATGAAGAGCCACTCCTCAGAAAGAGTTCCCGCCGGTTTGTCATCTTTCCAATCCAGTACCCCGATATTTGGAAAATGTACAAACAAGCACAGGCATCTTTCTGGACAGCAGAAGAGGTATGTGTCATCGCCTGCATCTCATTCATGTCCTGTGTGTTCACGTCTTCCCTTACATGAAACATTACATAAAGTATGGCTCAGAATTAATATAGATTATTGGTTCTCATTAATAATAAATATAACTAATTATTAATCAACTTAAATTGATCATAATTAGATTAGTGTCTGTAAATAAGTTTCTTGGTACGAGGAAATGCCATCTCATTTGGCCAGATTTTTGTTTTTGTTTGAGACCTGATAGCAAGGATGTTAATAAGACAAGACAAGTGAGAGCAATTTTGTACTGTAAAAAATATTCTAAAATGCAAGTAAGAATACTAGTAAGGTTCCTCGTGGCTTTACCCAGCAGGTCTGCATGGAGAGGATGATTGGACCACGGGCCTGAGTGCAGGTGTCTGAGATGGTCTGCACTTGGCTGTGCTGGGGGAGGGGGTCTTTTGCTCCACCCCTTGGCATTTCTATAAATACCCTAGGGCCGAGACAGTCAGGGCCCATGGAATAGGTTCCAGGCCCTCTCGAGGCTATCCTGTATTTTCTGTCTTTATCTCTCCCCTCTAAATCTTCTATCTAATATTTCCTGCTGCTCCTACTCAAGAGTACTCTGGGGAAATGTGGGGGTGGTGGGTAAACGCCCCCCTCACACTTAGTCAAGATCCCTTTGCCTTTACCTTTAATATATTGTAGACCATTTTCTATTGTTTAAGCCTTATTTATTTTTATTCTATGTGTATGAGTGTTTGCCTGCATGTATGTGTGTGCACTCCATGTGTTCTGGTGCCCTCAGAGACCAGCCGAGATTGCTGGATCCGCAGGAACTGGAGTTACAAGTGAGTGTGAGCTGTCGTGTGAGCGTTGAGAACTGGACCAGAGTCCTGCAGCCGCAGCCGCACATGCTCGTGGTACCCAGTGAGCTCTCCCTGCAGCCAGTCCTGCTACAGCTTTTGTTTTTAAATGGGTTCTTAACTTGCTATGACTGCATAAGACCAGTGTTGGGTTTTCGCTTGCTCGTTTGCTTGTGTTGATGGTTACTCATTTATTTATGGCTGCATGTGTTTGTGGAAGTGAAATGATGTCACCAGGCTGGGCCTTTGGCAGCAAACACCTTTACCTTCTGAGCCGTTTCTCCAGTCCTAACACCAGCTTAGACTCACGGTCAGCAGAATAAACAAAATCACAGCTGCAGCTTCAAAAGGGAAGTGTGAGACCCAGGCAGTCGTGTGCACCCCTCTAATCCCAGCACTCAGGAGGCAGAGGCAGGCAAAGCCCTGAGTTCAAGGCCAGCCTGGTCTACAGAGTGAGTTCCAGGACAGCCAGGGCTACACAGAGAAACCCTGGCTCAGAAAAGCAGGAAACAGCAACAACAAAAATAGAAGGGTGAGAGCCTTACAGACCTGATCTTCTGGAACAAAGCTGCAGTCATGTGAACAGCTCAGCCAGCCAGGCTGAATTCAGTCTGGCTCTGCCTTCAGCTGCAGCAAACCACAGCTGCTGCAGCGGGGCAACCACTGTTCCTTACTATAAATGTGACTGTTTCCACCTTCACAGTGAGTTCAGCACGTCAGTTAGACAATACCTGCTGGTTTAATAAGAACAATTAGTTATGCAAATGATTGCTGTGTAATTTAAGTAAACACACAAAGTTATTGTCTTTATTATTTAATTATTTCTTATTGTTTGTGATAGCTGCATAATACCCTCATTCTGTATATGTATCCAGTGGCATCTCTATCTCTGGATAGCTGTACCTATGTGAATAAATGTCTTTGGATCTGTATGCCTGTCAGTCAAGAGACCAAATCTGGGCTAGCAAGATAGCTCATTGGACAGAAGCACTTTCTGAACAAGCCTGATGGCCTGAGTTTGATTCCTGGAACCCACTGTGGAATGAGTGGAATAACTCCTGCATTTTCCTCTGATCACATGTGTTATAGCACACACATGATCTCTTTCTCTCCCTGCTCCCACCGCTCATACACACACATACAATCAATCAGTCAGTCAGTCAATCAATCAATCTGTCAATCAGTCAATCAATCTGAAAGCAGACCAACTGTATCTATGGAAATAACACCCTGTGAAGAATGCAGGGTTTGAGGCCAGGCTGCTTCAGTGCAAATCCTCCTCTGCCCCATACTGTCTGTGGAAGGAGCTTCATCTTGCCCTGCATCCTCACTGCTAAATCAGGCCAATAGTATATGACACATTGGTTGTTATGAGGATCAATGAGGTAGTTATAATCATATTTAACATTTGATAAGCACTAAATAAATATAAACTGAGCTGGGTGGGGTGGTGCATGCCTTTAATCCCAGCACTCAGGAGGCAGAAGCAGGCAGATCTCTGTGAGTTCGAGGCCAGCTTGGGCTACAAAGTGAGTCCCAGGAAAGGCACCAAAGCTACACAGAGAAACCCTGTCTCAAAAAACCAAATAAGTAAGTAAGTAAGTAAACTGTGATTTCATACAAAGAATGGGAAATTTTAGCCTAAAACTTAAAGGTACCAGTGTCTGAAATTTCTCTTACACTGTTTTCAGATACTTACATATCTTTGTTCTGCTGTCAACATTGTTCTATATTTTAGACACAGAGCAAAACAGCCAACTGAAACAACAAATACTCAGGGTTTTATGGTAGGTCACCTGACTTCCCCTGCCTGTGGTTTTTAGAGAGCTCTTGTTAGATGTGGTTCAGAAAACAAGTAGAGCGCACAGTTGGTCTTTTGGTTTGTCATGTTCAAAAAAGGGACTTGTGATGTTTGGGTTTCTGAAATTCGCTGGAAATTCACTGCTTCATTCAGAAACTGTAATAAATGTCTTATGACCAAGAAATACTAATTTAAAAAATTAAAGCACATAGGTTGATGCATATTTTGCAGGAAGACTCAAATACATGTTTTGAAGGAAGTCAAGGATATTTTTAGTCCCACATATTAGACAAATTATGTAAAAATAGTTAATTACTTTTATAGTATAGTTTTTAAATCAGTGGTTGAATTTAATTCTCAAATACGAGGCACTGACTCAGAAGACAAAGTATAGGCTTAGGAATTTTCTAAAAGTCAGTCAGGCAATTCTGATAATCAGCTTTCTGTTACTATGACAAAAATACTGAAGAAAATCAAGTTCTAGAGTAGCAGTGCCACAGGGCAGCAAGCACGCCTTTGCTTTAACACATGACCCTCTGGGGCACGGTGAGGATCAAAAACTGTAGCAGCCAGTCTGCAGCCAGTACTTAGATGGTGAAACTGAGGATGCGCTCATAGGAGAGAAAATAGACAGGAAAGGTGATGTTTTTAGAAGGAAATATAGCCATTATTATTTGACAATAAAGTAAAATTTATAGGGCATTTTAAAGCTCAGAGTTTAAAGAGGCAAATTTAATATTTAAGACTAGACATATTGCAGTATTAAGTTTAATACCAGGAATATAGTATATGAGAACAAGAAAGAGACCCCCGAGTTAACCTGAGTTGAGCTGATAATAGAATGGAATTTGACATTTTGCTGATATATTTTATAAAGTGAAGACAAATATTTCCCCTCCCCATCCTATTGTATTTCTAGAACTTAGCCTAGTTTCTTGGCATATATTGAGTGCTCAGTATGGCAGGAAAGGATACACTGATTAAAGGTTAGAATAGTAGTCTTTTTTTGAAAGGTCAAGAAGATTGAAACTTCGTTATATAATTAAAAGAGCCAAGCCAGCAGAATTTTCCAAAGGACAGTTACATATTTCAAATGTTTGTCACATTATTATGAGACATACTTGGAGGTTTTCATAAGACAGGAGAAGAGCTATGCACTGGTTTGTCTTCCCCAAATTTGTAAGTTGGGCCATTCATCCCCAGTGGGATGGTGTTTGGAGGTGGGGCAATGGGAGGTAATTATGTAATGAGGATGATGAGGTTAAAGATCTCATGCGTGAGATTAGTGCCTTTATAATGAGAAGGGAGCTTTCTCTTTGTCTATGAGCATATGGCAAGAAGGTGCCCATCTAAAAAGCTTCTTCAAAAATTTTACCGTGGGGGCTGGAGAGATGACTCAGGAGTTAAGAGCACTGGCTACTCTTCCAGAGGACTCAAGTTCAATTCCCAGGACCCACATGGTGTCTCAAAATTATCTGTAACTCCAGTTGCAGGGAATCTAACACTCTCTTCTGGCCTCTGTAGGCACCCAGCGTGTTCACAGTACACAACACACATGTAGACAAACATATCCATATACATAAAAAAAAAATCCAGACATACTGCTACCCCTAAGCTGTCTTAGATTGGGTTTCCATTGCTGTTATAAAATACTATGACCAAAAGCAACTTAGGGAGGAAAAGGTTTATTCATCTTATGGTTTATAGTTCATCACCCAGGGAGTTCAGAGTAGGCACTGGAGGCGGGAACCTGGCTGCACACTGGCCTGCTCCTCATGCCTTCCTGAGCCTGCTTTCTTATAGCACCTGCCGCCACTAGCCTAGGGGTAGAACGGCCCCAGTGAGCTGGGCCCTCCAACATCAACCATCAATTAAGAAAATACTCTACAGGCTTGCCCACAGGCCAATCTGATGCGTTTGTATGGAGCCGGGGGGCACAATTGATCCCTGTTCAACTTGACACAAACACATCACTTTTAAGCCATAATCATTCATTTCTTGGTCTTCATGTTAATAATAGTATTACAATATAAAACATTCCAACTTTAAAAAGCCCCATAGTCTTTACAAATTCAAACACTTTAAAGGTTCAGTCACTTTAAAATATCCAAAGTCTCTAAAAATATCCTTAGTTTCTTTAAAATATCCAAATTCAGAAACTCCAAAACTTTGAAATCTTTTACAATTAAGTCTCTTAACAGTAATCTCTCATAGCCGGGCGGTGGTGGTGCATGCCTTTAATCCCAGCACTTGGGAGGCAAAGCTAGGCAGATCTTTGAGTTCAAGGCCAGGCTGGGCTACAAAGAGAGAGCCAGGGCAGGCACCAAAAACTACACAGAGAAACTCTGTATCGAAAAACAGTGATCTCTCATAAAAAAAAAAAAAAAAAAAAAAAAAAAAAAAAAAAAAAAAAAGTTAAATACTCAGGAGGGACAGAACAAGGGATAGTTACAACCACATCAAAGTTGAACAGCATAAGAAGTTCAGTGTTGGTCATCTGGGATTCACTCACGATCTTGGGCTCCCCCAGAGGGCTCGGGCTACTTCTGCTCTACCCTCTGCCACACACAGGCCTGTCTGCAGGCCTCCACAGCTTTCCTGCCCTTGGTAGCTGTCCTATGGTACTGGCATCTCCTGAGCACTGGGCTCCCCACTGTACCCATGCCACACCTTCACCAATAGCCTTTTCTAGACTCTCTTCAGAGACTCTAACCCTGCCGGATGGTGCCAGGCTCCATTTCTTTCCATGACCCCTTCATCCTGGGGCTTCTCCTGTAACTGAGGCTGCACCTTCCTTGATGGCATCACCTGGCCTTTTGAGGGACTCTAGTCCTGCCACACAGTGCCAAGCTTCAGCTGCTCCTGAGGACTCTTTCATGCCTTCAAAACCAGCACCACCTGGGGAACTCTTATACTACCCAGTTGGGCTGCCATGTGATGCAGCCTTGGTCCCAGCAGGACCACAAGTTGTATGTGCTGATCCTGAGGAAATATTCTCAGCATCCTTTGATGCTGGTCTCTTCTTAATCATTGCTACTTTCACAGCTCCAGCTAGCCAGTAAGGAAAGGTTTCACTTCAGTGGTGCTGGTCTCCTGTTAATCACAGCTGACTCTTCAGCCCCAGCTGACCAGGAAACACAGATTCTTAATTCAAAATATTGTACAGCCCAATAGTCTTTTAAGGGACTCGTAAACTTTCTTCTGAAACTTCATATACTAGGCCTCCGTTGTCTGTATCACTCTCAAATTGAGGTTCCCTCTTCCAAAATGACTCTATCTGTGTCACCTGGACATGAACTTAGCCAGCACATGCTTGGATCTTGGACTTACAGCTTCCAGAACTTTGAAAAGTAAATGTTTGTTTTTAAGCCATCCAGTCTATTATCATCATCATCATCATCATTATCATTATTATTATTACAGCAGCAAGAGCCAGCTAACTCAGTAAGGTACATTTAAGGACCACTTGAAAAGTTTGGATTTTGCCAAATTTTAGAGTCCATCACTTTCTTAGTTCCAAAGAATAATTTTAATAAGCATTTTCAAAGGTATTTCTATTCTAGGAGAAGCCTGTCTTAATTAGGGTTTCTATTGCTATGAAGAGACACCATGACCACAGCAACTCTTATAAAGGAAACATTTAATTGGGGTGGCTTATATTTTCAGAGGTTTAGTCCATTATCATCATGGTGGGATATGGCAGTGTGCAGACAGACATGGTTCTAGAAAAGGAGCTAAGAGTTCTACATCTTGATTCACAAGCAACAGGAAGTGAACTATATTCTACACTTGATGTAGCTTGAGCATATGAGACCTCAAAGCCCACCCCCACAGTGAAACACTTCCTCCAGTAAGGCCACACCTACTCCAACAAGGTTATGTCCTAATAGTGCCTATGGGCCAAGCATTCAAACACATGAGTCTTTGGGGGCCATACCTATTGAAACCACCACAAAGCCATATCTGTAAACTGCTTTAAAACCCAGATTATTGTCTTGCTGACATGACTTCTCAGTAAAGAGGAGTGGCTGGCAGTAGCATAGAGGCTATAATTAGTTAGCAGGTGCTGAATCTGTCTAATACTATAGTAAGTATTGTATAAAACCAATGACTGCTGAGGCATTAGTTTATCTACTTTAAATACTTGACTAGTTTCTACTTTCCTTTTTGTTCATTCATTCACTTGGTGCTATGCTTAATTAATTTTAATAAAAATGTATCCTGGCCAACTAAATTAGCAAAAAGAAAAAAAAAGCAGATTCCTTCACAAATGACCTTCTTTCCTCATTCCCGCTCTCTCCTCCCTCCTCCCCTCTCCACTTCCTTGAACATGCTAAGACAGCTTTGTTTGTTTAAAGAGATTTTGCTGGATGTGTTTAGGGTATAGATCATGGTGTTGTAAAATATGCGCGCGCGCACACACACACACACACACACACACACACACACACACATGCACACACTTGCACGCAAGCGCACACATGTGTATAAACTTTTTCCCATTAACAAGTAAACGTATATACTGTCTCATATACTTATCCATTTCCTCCTGTGTGGCAAGAGCAGGTATAATGTACTAATTAGGTAAATGTTCTAAGTACAGCACATTATTGTTAATGTAATAGCTATCTTATTTTGAGTTTTGTGATTTTTAATGTTTTTTCTTTCTGATGTAGCTCTTCTTAACTTAAAGTGAAAATTTCCCAAACTCTTTAAGTGAAAAACAATTGAAGTGTTTTTATTCTAGGTTGACTTATCAAAGGACCTCCCTCACTGGAACAAGCTTAAATCAGATGAGAAGTATTTCATCTCCCACGTCTTAGCCTTTTTTGCAGCCAGTGATGGAATTGTCAATGAAAACTTGGTAAGATTTTTATTTTACTGTTGCTCCTATTTTGTACTTGAATGACAGTGTTAGTAAGATCACCATAGGTCCTGCCCGAGGAAAGAAAGATGTCTTAATAATAGACTAGATGAAGCTTACTTCCATTTAAACAACGTATGGGGTATGTGTGCATGTATAGGCAGAGGCCAGAGGAGGACATTGGCTGTCTTCCTCTGTTGCTCTCTGCCTCATTTCCTGAGAGAAAGTCTCTTCACTGAACCTGGTGCTCACCATTATTTAGCTAAGTTGACTGTCCAGGGAGCCAAAGGATCCTCCTGTCTCTGATACCTCAGCACGGGGGTTACAAGCTCACAGACACATGCCCAGACTTATGTGAGTGCTAGGGAATCCAAACTAGGGTCTTCATGCTGATGAAGCAAGCATTCTTACCCAGTAAAGGTGTCTCCCCACACACCAAAGTTTTATTTTTGAGTATATTTTTTCTCATTAAGTTTCAGAGGAGAAGATAGTTAACTGTCAAATGACTAGCAATATATTATGGAATCAAACATAAATTATACCAATTAAAACTACATATAGTGTGGGGCTGAAGATATCCCTGACTATTCAGTGTTTGGCTAGCATTATAGAGGCCCTGAGTTTTAGCCTAGCAATGTGAAAACAAAATCCAAAATTGCACAGAATTCGTAAACTTGATTTTTTTTTGCCCCTGATAACAAACTTAATGGAGAATGTGCCCTTAATAGCCATCTGCAGCTCTGTGTAGATATAGGTTCTGCCCCTCATATAGAAATTGTGTTACCATCAGTCAGGAGGAATAGGTTTTTGGTAAGGAGAGTAGAAGTAGGAACATCCAGGATGGACCAGAACTTTAGCGGACCTGTCTGCTATTAGGGAAAAAGCTCTACAGGGCAAAATCACTGTTTTTGATAGGTATTCTAAAATTGACTGTTCAATAGGCAGTGTTTCCACTTCAAAGATAAATTTGCTCCATTGCTTAGGAACACAGTCCATGAAGTTGTAGGCATAGCCCAGTGGGTACCTGCCTAGCAGAAGCACAATACTGGGATCAGTCTCCAGCACTAATTAGCTTACAGTACTTGTAAGATGCTGCTTTAAAAGACCCGTAAAGGCTGATGATGGAGTGCTTGCCTAGCATGAGTAAGATGCTAGGTTTAATCTCAGAGCCACACACATGCATGTGCGTCATGGTGTGTATGTGTGTAGAAATCAGAGGACAACTCTGAGGTTCCAGGCGTGGAGCTCTGGTCATTAGGTTTGGCAGCAAGCAATCTTACCTTACGATCCTTCTCACTGATCACTTTTTTTTTTTTTTTCTGAGACAGTGTCTTGCCATGTTTCTCAGTTGGTCTTGAAATCATATCCTCCTGTCCAGGTTCCTGAATGCTGGAAAAGACAAAGATTGTTAGGTGCTTTAGCTCGTGACCAGGGTTTTGTGAGAGCTTGCTCACTGGTCTCTGTGTCCCGTCTTTCTGTAGGTGGAGCGTTTCAGTCAGGAGGTGCAGGTTCCAGAGGCCCGCTGTTTCTATGGCTTTCAGATTCTCATCGAGAATGTTCATTCAGAGATGTACAGTTTACTAATAGATACTTACATCAGAGACCCAAAGAAAAGGTATTACTATTGTGTGTGTGTGTGTGGGGGGGTATTTGTGAAGGTTAGGTTTTTGTTTACATTAAAAGTAGAATTTATTCCAAAACTACAATATTAAAAGATTATTCACATATAGAAGTTCATGAGTATAGTTTTCTTTTTTTAAAAGATTTATTTATTTATTATATATACAGTATTCTGTCTGCATATATTCTGCATGCCAGAAAAGGGCACCAGCTCTCATTACAGATGGTTGTGAGTCACCACGTGGTTGCTGGGAATTGAACTCAGGACCTCTGGAAGAACAGCCAGTTCTCTTAACCTCTGAGCCATCTCTCCAGCCTGAGTATAGTTTTCTATTGCTCAATAATGTGTTAGATTAAAGACCTGGCATAGAACCAGTTAGTCTTTAGATAATTAATACCATCTTAAAAGCTTGTTTGTATTTGTAAATTGAATATTGGCATTTCATTGATTTTTAGATCAGCTTATATCCAAGTCATTAATCTGAGTTTCACTTTTATTTCTGTATTCATAATTATGAACATGTAAAATTATAGAAAAACTAGATTTGGTAGTATACTGTAAAAGTTACAAGTATTGTCTCTGATTATTAAAACTTAGTCCAATTAATAGAAACAAATGAATAATTTTTCCATGTTTTTTGTTTTTATAGGGAATTTTTGTTTAATGCAATTGAAACAATGCCGTATGTTAAGAAAAAAGCAGACTGGGCCCTGCGCTGGATAGCAGATAGGAAGTCTACTTTTGGTATGTAGCGCTAACTTGTATGCCCTCGGCTTAGCCGCCAGTGGTTGTGATGCGTGAGAGCGGAATGCAGGGATTTCAGTGTGCTAGTGCACTGTGCTCTAGTGATCACTAGTGCACTGGAATCACTGTGCAATGACTGGTTATCACTAACTGTGCTAAGGAAGCTGTTACTTGTGTTTAATACATTAGAACTTGGAAAGGTAAGATCTCACCATGCACACTGACAAGTAAAAAAGTCACACAGAACCCAATCAAGAGTGTTGTAGTCACCTACCTTTTGTGCCCGTTTCAAAGAGTGCCAGGGATTTAAAGCAAGTCAAGTCCTAACAATCACCGGAAACAAAGATCTAGTTTCTAAAAATGCAAAATTAGTATAGTCAACCACGACCAGAAACAGTTTGCAATAACAAGCTTAGTTTACACTGGTAAGTTAAATGCAGATATACTCCAGATGAGTTGAGACCACTCCCCTTTTGTATGAGGCAGGGCCTCACTCTATGTGTAGGTCAGGATGGATAAGTTGAGACCACTCCCCTTTTTTATGAGGCAGGGTCTTACTCTATGTCGAGCTCAGGATGGCCTCTAACTCGCTTGCTCTCCTGCTCAGCCTTCTGAACACTGAGACAAGCATGTGTCACTCAGCCTAGCCTTACGATTTTTTAAAATTAATTTTTGTTTGGGAAGGACGGGCACACGTGTGCCAGGGTGCGTACGTGTGTGAACTGTGGAGAGAAAAGGAAGAGTGGGACGTGCAGTTGGTAGCCCTCCTTTTTGGTAGTGGAACTCTAAGTCAGTGGTGTGGGGATGATTTGCTGGGCAGCACACTTACTGTTTTCTTGAGCCGGCAGCCGACATGCGACATGCGGCTCTGAGGGCCACCTGCGCCTTAGCACTCTCAAAGGCAGCTAGCTCTTCTTGGTGCGGGACTTGGCCCAGCCTTTGTGGAGACTTCTTGGTAATGGCTACCCCAAGCAAGAGCCAGGAGAGCAGCTGTTCTTTCCCTGCTTCTAAAATCTTTTTTACAAGTCTGTCGTTTTTAGCTGAAGGGAAATTTAAAAAGAATCCTTTGAAAATATCCCTTTGTTTTAAAGTTTATATAGTATGCTGTAAAGAGATCCAGTTCTCATAAAGCTAAAAATTTCCAATTATTTATCTGTGTTGTTTTTAATTGAAACATACTGTCCGGTTTAAGATTGGCAGATAGATATATTAACCCTTAATCTATGTTTTGAAATTACATTTGTAAACTTCAAAAAATAGTAATTATACAATTTTAGTGCACTGTACTGTGGACCCCGCTGTACTTAAAATATATACCCTACTAAACAAACTATGAGGCATTTACCTTCATTACAGTGTTTAGAATAAATGTCTTGGTTGTCTTTTTGTTTCACACATATTCTGAAAAGTTTATAAAATGTATCTGTATCTCTTATAATCGTTTTCGTGCATCAGTATGTGTTCATGTGTGAATGTGCTTGTATGGTGCAAGCACATGTGTGTGTACATGTCTGTGGAGGCCAGAAGCTGATGTGAGTGTCCTCCTGAATCCTTCTCCTCCGTCCTTCCTCTCCTCTCCGTGTATGTGTGTGTGTGTGTGTGTGTGTGTGTGTGTGTGTGTTATAGGCATTGTATATGCATCTGTGCACATATGTGTGCAAGTATACACCTACGTGTGAGTGTAAAAGCCAGAGGTCGATGTCAAGTCTCTTCCCTTATTGCTCTCCAAAGATTTACTCATTTAAAAAACTTTGTGTAGCCGGGCGGTGGTGGCGCACGCCTTTAATCCCAGCACTCGGGAGGCAGAGGCAGGCGGATCTCTGTGAGTTCGAGGCCAGCCTGGTCTCCAAAGTGAGTTCCAGGAAAGGCGCAAAGCTACACAGAGAAACCCTGTCTCGAAAAACCAAAAAAAAAAAAAAAAAACTTTGTGTATGTGTGTATGCCTACATGAGTTTATGTGCACCATATGTGTACAGGTGCAGCAGAGGCTAGAGAAAGTTGGATTCTCTGGAGCTGGTGTTGCAGGCAGTTGTGAGCCACCTGATATGAATGCTGGGAACTGAACCTGGCTCCTCTTCAAGAGCAGTAAGCATCTGAGTCATTTCTCCAGACCCTTAATGTATTTTTAGTAATGGATACTTTTATTTATCCTTTGATAACTTCATACATATACACAATATTTGATCATATAGCTCCCTGAATCTCCCCTTCTACATGTTCCCTTCTTACCTCCGTGTCTTCTTATTTCTTTATGGTCCACCAAGTCCAGCTAGTGCTGTCCACGTGTGCATGTGTGGGACCCATCCACAGAGTATGGGCAACCTACCAGCAGCCAGACACCCCAGCTGCTGTCAACTGCCAGTAGAGTCTCAGCTATTGTCATGGGGCCTCATGAGCAATTCCTCATTTTTAATTAGCATATGTTAATTGTGCATAATAGTGGGTTTCATTATGACATCTATATACATATACATAATGTATTTGACCATATTCACACACACACACACACACACACACACACACACACACACACACACACACACACACGTTAGCCTCTCTTGTCCCCTCCCACTCTGCTAATCCCCTTCCTCTCCTCAAATGGTCTTCCTTCTACTTTCCATGGCTATGCTTGTGTGTGTGTGTGTGTGTGTGTGTGTGTGTGTGTGACAGAGAGACAGAGACAGAGAGAGAGACCCAATGAGTTCATTAGGATTGTTTACAGAAATGTGAGGGAGAGTCTGCTTGTAAGAGCATGGCCACCTTTAGCCAGTAGCTGTCCACTGAAGACAGGGTCTGGCATGAACCTGGAGCTCACCCCTTGGGCAGGTCTCTTCAGGGATTCTCTTATACCCATTTCCCCAGTGCTAGGACTGCGTGTGTGCCTGCCACTACTGGCTTTCACACGATGCTGGGCGTTCAGACTCCAGTCCTCATGTTACTTTCCCAGCCCCTCCTTAAAATCTTTTAATTCTCTCCAAAAATAGTCTTCTGTAGCTGTTTCTTATGGTTCTTATTTTTCAGCATTCACATAGATGCCCAGAGTGGTTAAAATAGCTCTCCTCTTATGTTTAATTTTAGTCCAGTTCTCTTACAGATAATTGTCCATATGGCATTACTTTAATACTTAAAAATGTCAGTTATTATTGTCTGTTAGTTGCAAGATAAAAGTACCATAAACTAATATTCAATTAAGGATGAGATGAAGCAGTGATTATTTTTGTATTGTAATATTTATTATATTCACATGAAAGTTTTCTGTAATTCCTTTGACAGTACTCAGTCAGCACTTATTTATTTATATTTCTGTGTTTCTTTCAAAGCAGCTTTTTAAATGGCATCTATAAAGATAAACTAGAAGTTTTTCTCATGTTGGAAGTTATTAATAGACAGTTTGGTTTCACGTCTCTTTGCTGTGGTTGATCTGTTCGGTGTGAGATGAGCAAGGAAAGAGCAAGGACAGACAGACTCCTCTAGAGACAGCCAGAAACACTTCAGTCGGCCTGCTTTCTGAGATTTAAGTGTTTTTTCTGAAATTAGAAAGTGGATTTCAGCATAGAAATTGGACATGTCTATATAATGGATTTAAATCTTAAAATTTTATTTATTTATTTGTGTGTGTGTGTGTGTGTGTTATAATCCAAAATACCCTAGAGACAGTGTCACAGCTATGATATCACTGAAGATATTTAGGAATGAGTTTCTACAGAGTCTTTGCCTAACAGTGAATCAACTTTTAAGTTCGCTTTTCTATCTTTAATAGAACATTTTTTTCCTATAGGTAAATTCATTGCCTTCAGGTGATTTTTAAAATTATTCTGCAAGGATAACAATGTTTTTGAAATGTTTACAGCTAATCTTTTAGCAACAATAGGCTGCTAACAAAATATAAACCTTAGCAACCACTCCTCCCATTAGAGGAAGACAGCTATCATAAAGTTTATCTTGCACTTCCCATTATCGTATACACACATATGTACACATAGTGAACTCACACACGTGTGTCTGCACTCACAGACACATGCTCTTTACAGGCAAATCACCTCTCATTTATTTATTTATTTGGTGTATGGAAATCCATTGTGTGTGTGTGTGTGTGTGTGTGTGTGTGTGTGTGTGTGTGTGTGTGCGCGTGTGCAGGCTACACCACCTACTCAAGTCCACGTTTTCTGCAGGGTTTGAAACAGACATGTCTCCTTGAGCAGGCAGGGGTGGAAAACCTCTGCCCTGGAGACCTTTGTGCAGAGCACTGACTTGCTTGTTTGTTTCTCAGGAGGGCAGTGTGATGCTGCAAAAAGCCCCATGTATGTGTAAACTTGCAAATGTCCGCACCGTCTGGTTAGGAATGGAACTGTTCTGTCTTGCAGGGGAGAGAGTGGTGGCCTTCGCCGCCGTGGAAGGCATTTTCTTCTCTGGGTCATTTGCTGCTATATTCTGGCTGAAGAAGAGAGGCCTCATGCCCGGACTCACTTTTTCAAATGAGCTCATCAGCAGGGATGAGGTGAGGAAGGAAGTGTTCTTCCACTGAGTTTCTGTTGTGTGTGGTCGTTTATTGTTCTTTCCCCTGGAGAAGATGCATGCAGCGACACAGTTTTCTGCTAATGAAAAGGAAATGGACACACACTTCTTCTGTGGCCTGTGAGACTTGTTTTCCTTCCATGGCTTCTACTGTTCCTCCTTGGTCTCTGCTTATCCTTAGATGTGACTGGACTTCTGGATTCTTGCCTCAGTCTCATTATTTGTGACTTCCTGGCTGATTTTATTTCTTGTTGTGGAATCAGCCACCATCTAAATGTTCATAACTCCTCAAGCTTTATCTGTATTCCACATACTCTTTCCCTGTGGGAGCCCGGTCTGGGGTTCCTCGTGGCTTTACCCAGCAGGTCCGAATAGAGGATGATCAGGACCACGGGCCTGAGTGCAGGTGTCTGAGATGGCCTGCACTTGGCTGTGCTGGGGGAGGAGGTCTTTTGCTCCACCCCTTGGCGTCTCTATAAAAACCCTGGGCCAGAGACAGTCGGGGCCCGTTGGAATAGGTTCCAGGCCCTCTCGAGGCTATCCTTTATTTTCTATCTGTTTATCTACGCAAGATTCTCCGCTATAAATCCTTCTATCTAATATTTCCTGCTGCTCGCACTCAAGAAAACTCTGGGAAGCTGTGGGGGTGGTGGGTAAACGCCCCACATTTCCCAAGTTCCAAACCTACATTCAAGTGCATGCTGGGTGTTTTTTCTGGGAGCCTCCACGTGTATCTCAGAAGTCAAGATTCATTGTCATCTCCAAACGATGTCATCTCTCCATCACAACCCTGACGTCCTGGGAGCTACTTTAAACTGCTGTTTTCTCTTCCTGCACATCCATCTGGCTCTATCTGCAATACCTTCTCATTTTCCTCCCATCTTTATTATTATTTTCACTCTTTGATCACTGTTTCAAAAGAGGCAGCTCAACATTCCTGGTTCCATTACGTCAAGCTGGCCACTGCTGCTTTGATGGACTGCTCGTCCTCATGGGCTCATAGCATGCATGTATCTCTCTGCTTGGTCAGATTCTAGGCTTTTTAGCATGGAGACTACTCCTATTTCTACTTATTTCAATGTTTAGTCCATGATAACCGTCCGGTTCACGTTAGTCCACACTCACCGGGGTGCCTCAGCTTTTCATTTTCTTAAGTAACCTTCTCAAGTTACTTCTCTGAACCTCCATTTTCTCAACTATAAACTCTAACAGGGGTTATTACAGTGTAAGGAAACAGTATGTGTGAAAAGCGTTTAAATTTTTTAAAGATTTATTATTTACTTTATGTGTGTGGAAGTTTTGCCTACATGTATGTAGTGTGTCATGTGCATGCCTGGTGCCCTTGGAGTTCAAAAGAGAATGTTAAAGCCCCTAGAACTGGAATTATTGATGGTTGTGAGCCACCATGTGGGTGCTTGGAAGCCAAACCTGGTTCTTTTAAAGAGCAAGTGCTCTTAACTCCCATCGTATTGTGAAAATTAACTCCCAGCCCTGTGAAAAGTATTATTTAAGTACATAAATGCTTCATATAATTATATTCTTCTGTTTGATGTCTTTAACTTTCTGATAACTTAGACAATAAATGCCATAATTATTATAGAGAATTTAGCAAAAAGGTCAACAAACTCAGAGGTAATAATGTTTATTTATTGTGTTCCTTTATAGACTTTTCTACATTTAAATCTGTTTCTCTTTCTCCAGCACCCCTGTGTGTATATATCATATTTTTATAATTTGTGGTTTTTTCTGTTCTTTTGTTTGCTAGAGAGGGGATCTCACCATGTTGTTGTTTTAACTTCCTCACGGTGGCTGCATCGTAATCTGCTGCTGTTTCAGCCAGCAGTTGCAGCCCTGCAGTTACCGGCCTGCTTCTCTAGCACCCGCTCTGTCACTGCTGCTGAAGGGAGCTTTAACTAAGCCTCTGTCGTTCTGTTTATAAAAAAGGCTCAAGATTCAAAGGCTGGGGTGAAAACCTGCTATTCTCAGAGATGCTGGGTCACAACTAGCTAATCTTCCTTCCTTTTGAAGGTGTGTGTGTGTGTGTGTGTGTGTGTGTGTGTGTGTGTGTGTGTGTGCAGGCTCCAAAAGACTTGTGCTCCCTCTTCCCCAAACCAGAAAAGGCCACACCACTCCAAACCCCACCCTATGACTTCCTGTCTCTATCTCTCCCAGATGCCCTCTGATGCTCTCTGATTACTTTCTGTCAACTAGTTGTTAGTGTAGCCTCCTGACCCAAGGTTAATTTTATTTAATTAATGCATATGCAAACTTGGGAGTTCAGTGTGATCTAATATCCCCCAACACCAAGCAGCCCAGGCTAACCTTGAATTGGACATTTTCCTGCCTTTACTTCTTGAGTGTTGGGGTTACAGGCATTAGTAGCCACATCCTTTTTTTCCAGCTGGCAAATGTTGTGAGCCTTTTTCTTTATATTAAGCATTATTTCAAAACAGTTTGTTAGGGTTGTAATATTCTGGTGAATGAATGTATCATTTATTTGATACTAATTAGAAATTGGTTCTTGAATTTTGTTTAGCTTTTTTTCATTTTGAGATGACATTGTATTGATTGTGTAACCTAGCTGGCTTGAAACTTGCTATGTAGACCAGGCTGGCCTTGAACTCACAAGAGATCTCCCTGCCTCTGCCTCCTGAGTAGTGGTGTTAAAAATATTCACCACCATGCCAGGTTGTTTTGCTTTAATAAAGTGAAACTTTATTCTCTTCTGTGGTGGTGTTATCTGCTGTGTATCCGCCTCATCACTTGTGCTCCAGGCTGTCCTCAGCGTTTATTTTCTTCTGTGGTGGTCTTATCTGCTGTGTATCCGCCTCATCACTTGTGCTCCAGGCTGTCCTCAGCGTTTATTTTCTTCTGTGGTGGTGTTAGCTGCTGTGGCTTCAGGTGCTGTGCGCCCTGCTCTTCCGTTTGCTTTGCACCAAGTTCCCTTTGCTCTTGAATATAAACCCAATATAAACACTGTCTTTCTGGAGTCTCTCTGAGCTTCAGTTGCTCTTTAAGTGCTGCTGTATTGGCTACTTTTCCTGTTGCTGTGAGAAGCAGCAGCTTAGAAAGGAGCCTTGCTTTGACATGCAGGTCAAGGGCATGCGTCCGTCCGTCCGTCCGTCCGTCTGTCTGTCCTAGCAGGGGGGCGCAGGCAGCTCCAGCTGGCCATGTTGTATCCCGGTTATGAAGCAGAGAGTGATGCACGCCGGTGCTCAGCTCACTTTCTGCTTTTTATTTGGTCGAGGACCCAGCCTGTGGAATGGTACCACCTACATTTAGGAGCAAATCTTCCCACCTTCATTAGCCTAATATAGAAAAATCACAGACATGCTCAGAGGTTTGTTTCTATGGTGATTCTCAATCCCATCAAACTGGCAACCAAGATTTATCACCATAACTAATTACTGTTTTTCAATCATTCTTTTAATTTTTGACATTTAAAAACTAATCAGTTTGGCCGGGCGGTGGTGGCGCACGCCTTTAATCCCAGCACTCGGGAGGCAGAGCCAGGCGGATCTCTGTGAGTTCGAGGCCAGCCTGGGCTACCAAGTGAGCTCCAGGAAAGGCGCAAAGCTACGCAGAGAAACCCTGTCTCGAAAAACCAAAAAAAAAAAAAAAAAAAAAAAAAAAAAAACAAATTTTCATGTTGTCTCTTCTTACATTGTTTTCCTTTCCAAAATGTTTTTGTTACAAAATTATTTGGTTGGTTTATAAATTGGTATTCATGTTATAAAATGTTAATAATATAAAATGTTAATAAACTAAGATTTATTATCATTAAAAGTTTCTATTATAAGTTATCGACTTGGTGTTCAATGCAGTTTGGAGGTGAGAGGCTCCTGGTCTGTTAACCCTTTCATCTCCAGGAAGTTCCCTATTCCTACATCATACAGCACACTGACACATTATACGCAAGTAGCTAATTGAAGTTCTCTGACGGTAGTGATTGTCTTCTGTTTAGGGACTTCATTGTGACTTTGCTTGCCTGATATTTCAGTACTTGGTGAATAAGCCTTCAGAAGGAAGGGTCAGGGAGATCATTATGGATGCTGTTAAAATTGAGCAGGTAAGTGGGAGTCCCATTATCACATGACTACATTCTATTGTGTATTCATTGTTTGCTTTATTTTTATTGTATTTATGTGCATGGATGTTTTGCCTGCATGTATGTCTATTCTTCACATGCTTGCCTGCTGCCCAGAGTCCAGAAAAGGACAACAGATCTCCTGGTTGCATTTGGTTGCGAGGTACCATGTGAGTGCTGGGAATGAAACCCAGGTCCTCCAGAAGAGCAGCCAGAGCTTTTAACTACTGAGCAGTCTCTCCAGTCCCCATAGTTTGTTTTTAAAATTTGTTTTAAAATAGTGCCTTATGATACTCTGTGGGCTATCCTTGAACTCCTGGGCTAATGTAGCCCTTCTTCCTGATGCTGGCACTGTGCCACTGTGCCTAGAAGCATTTGACTGCTACGTTGTAGTTTGTATGTCAATATCGGCAAATTAACATAGTCCAATTTGACAGTTATTTTAGTTACTTTTCCATTGCTTGATAAAACATCAACTTACAAAAGGAAAACATTTAATTTGGGGCTCAAGGTTGCAGAGTCCATGACCATCATGGCAGGGAGTACAGCAGTAGGCAGGCATGGCACTGGAGCAGTAGCCGAGAGCTTATATCCTTATCCGAAGTAGGAAGCAGAGAGCGCTCACCCCCACTGACACACCTCCTCCAACAAGGCCACACCTCCTAGTCCTTCCCAAACAGTTCCACCAACTGACTACCAAGTATGAAAATATGTAAAACTATGGTGGCCATTCTCATTCAAACCACAAAACATGATGTATTGTTACCTCCATTTATAATTTGATTAAAAGTCAGTCTTTAATATATATATCAGGGTTTTCTGTGTGCTTGGTTTATTTCAGGGCTATATTTTTGTTTTAAATAAATTAATTATATTTAATTTATCTTTTAAATATGATTGCATAGTAAACATTTTAATTGTTGTAGCGTCTTAGTTTTATATTTCTAACTACTAGAGAGGAATGGTAATTTTTGTTTTATAGTTTCAGTAACAAAGCAGCCTTGCTACCTAGGTAAAGCGCAACCCAAACATTCACAAAATGCATAAGTAAGTGAATTAGTAGAGTAAAACTTAATTTATGGCATGCAAAGGTTGTGGCTAGAAGCAACTTGATAGTCTACTTAAAATGTATTTTTATCACTCTAAAGAACTAACTCGAAAATGAAATTTGCTTGACTTGTTTTTGAACAGTGCATAGGTTATAGGCATGGTTTTCATGCTGTGAGGGGAAAGGTGTATGTATATTGGCATCTTTTTACCATTTTGAGGATGAATTTCATAATTAATATGCTTTTATTTTTCATCTATTAACAGTTTACCACTGTCTTTAAGTACAACTGGATTTCAGTATATCTCCCAACCTCTAAATTCATATCTGTCAATTCTTATATTCTCTATAATCGATGTCTTTTTCTTGGCTCAATTTTGTGATCCAGCTTTCCATGGTGTAGTGGTCTTTGAAGAAGTTTTGTCTGGATACTTTAGGACAAAATATCACCATTTCTCTGTTGAGAAAATCTAGGAATCAGGTCCTTTACATACTACTTTAAAAGATTCAATAATTTGCTGTTTTCTATTTAACTTTGGCCCTTGGAGAAAGTGAAATGCTATAATTAGTAATATCCCAAACATTTGTAGACAGATGACCATCATTTGTCATGTAAATTTATCCTGGCATACTTGCCTGGAGCAAAATCAGCGTCTAGACTATAAAGAAAACTAAACTCTGTCCTGCTCATCTTCTCCATGAGATTGTTCACGGCTCAGAAGGTGCGGTCTTTCATAGCAAGGAAGGGTCTAGCCCAAGTTTCAAGCACAGCTTGTTCAAATTTTGGCTGACCAAAAAGTAGAGTTGGGACGGAAAGAAAGTCCTCAAAGCGCATGCCCAGGGACCCATTTCTGCCAGCCAAGTCTCAGCTCTAAAACCTTCCATGGCCTTTCTAAACAGTGGCACCAGGTAGGGCCAAATATTCAAATACATGAGCCTGTAGAGGACATTTCAAATTCCAACCATAATACTCTGTATCTGGGAATGTATACTTATTTATTGTTATGCTTTTGTGCCTGCCTTATTCTGATTTTGTTTGCTCTCCAGGAATTTTTAACAGAAGCCTTGCCTGTCGGCCTCATTGGGATGAACTGTGTTTTGATGAAACAGTACATTGAGTTTGTAGCTGACAGGTTGCTTGTAGAACTTGGATTCTCAAAGGTAAATAAAGTGTTGTAAAGCATGTAACTAACTGTCTTAGTTTTGTCCTATTGCTGTGAAGACACACCATGACCAAGGCAGCTTATAAAAGGAAGCACTTAATTGAAGGTTTGCTTACAGTTTCCGAGGTTAGTCCACGGCCATCACGGGAGGGAGCATAGTAGAAGGCAGGCAGGCAGGCCCCAGAGCAGGAGCGGAGAGCTTATTCCTTGGTCCACAGGCAGGAGGCAGAAAGAGAGCAACTGGCCCTGGTGTGGGCCTTTGAAAACACCCTCAGTGACACCCTCCTCCAGTAGGGCCACTCCTAATCCTCCCTAGCTGGCTCACCAGCTTAAACCCCACATTGGAATATCCGAGCCTCTGTTATCCATTCTCATGCAGACCAGCACACAACCAATAATGTTACAGGCAAGTAAGCTCTCTGGGTTGTTTGACTGAAAGTGTTTGTAATACACTAGTCTACTCTTAAAATACCAATGACAAGTTAGATGTGTGATGTTCATCTCTAATTCCAACATTTCTAAGGATTGCAAGTTTGTGGCCAACCTGGGCTACATGGCCCATTTCTGACTGACAAGTAAATAAAAATGTGTAGTACACAGATTTGTTTTGTAAGAAAAAAATGGTTTTTCAAAATCCTTGAAACCCTCAGGACCTTAGAGGAGCAGTGTGGCCCTGTGGGTGGCGGGGCAGTGGGGACCTGCCCTCTGGTTTTTGTCATGTCCGCTCCTATTGTGGAGTGTAATTTGGATTCTTCAGAATGTCTAATGACATTTCTTTTCTTTTCAGATTTTTCAGGCAGAAAATCCCTTTGATTTTATGGAAAACATTTCATTAGAAGGGAAAACAAATTTCTTTGAGAAACGAGTTTCTGAGTATCAGCGCTTTGCAGTCATGGCGGAAACCACAGATAATGTCTTCACCTTGGATGCAGATTTTTAAAGCCCTCCTCATCTAAAACAATATAGTAGAAGCCGGGGATGGTTGCGCACACCTTTAATCCCAGCACTCGAGGGAGGCCAAGGCAGGTGGAGTTTGAGGACTGTCAGGGCTACATATAGAATAGAGATCTGTCTCAAAACCAAGATAATAATAGCAAAAGCAAGCTAACAAAGAAAACCATGTAGAAACCTGTCATTGGTAAATAGCAATTTATTTTTCTGATCTTTTGAAACCGAGCATCTCCTTTAAGGGAATGGGAGTTTGAGTAGAAGGAAATGTAAAACTAAATTCTAAACAATTGATTTATCTAAATGCACTTCAGTTATTTATACAATGAGAGCGTGTGACCTAAATGCCTGTTTTGTTTATTTGTTTTGTCATGAGCACAAAGAGCAATGGGAGCATGGACATTCTACCCTTACTCCTTTGTGTGACCTTGGTGGGTCAGTTACCCACTGTAAACTTCAGGGCACTTATCTGTAAAATGTGTGCAATAGCAAGTCCCAAACTCATGGGGTGACAGAAGGGTTAATACACAGAAATAAATTTCCCTCCACTGCCTTGACTACTAATTAATATTAATGATAAGATTAACTGCAGTGACATTGTGATGAAATACACTCCAAAGTGATTGTGATTCTAGGTTAGATGGAGATTTAGAACTCATTAGATTTTTGTGCTTTTAATGCTTGCAGGAAGAATATAAAAATATGAAATCCTTAGAGAGGTCACGATTATCATCAACCTCTCTGCATTTCTCAATCTGCAGTAAAGAATGTAGCTTGTAATTGCTTAGGGTGGAAGGCTATGGAGGAGAATCCAGAAGTGACCACAGTTGTGGACCTTGTAAACAAAGTGATTCTTCTTCAGGAATTAAAAAGATAACTATTGGCAGGTGCAGTCCTGGAATGTTTAGAACCAGCATAGATGGGCATTTCCCAAAGTCATATTCTCAGAACTGGTAGATCTTCCGGAGTTTTTGTGATAGAAAAAGAGATTTGGTGGGAAATGCTGCACACTTCATCCCTTCTTAGAATGTCCAGTCAGCACAGCAGCTGGGGTGGTGTGTACAGAAGCCTTCACCTTGCTGCCCACAGGTACTCACAGGAGTCGGCCAACAGCTCCCACAGCAGAGTGCACTGGGAAAGCCGGCCCAGAATCATTTATACACACTGAAAATGGACAAAACAGGGAAGGGTAGGACTATTGAACCATTTCAGATTTATGCCAAGCTGAGAAAGCTGTTTAAGATTGGCCTCATCTGTGTGTCTTTATACTTTTACATCTCTTTACAATGTTATAAAGGAATGTTCTTTTAGTGGAAGTGTGTTATGCTGTATAATAAGACGATGGGGGAGATGGAAGTCCTTAGGAAAGATTCAGGAAAGGCCAGGAGCCTGGACACCTGGACAGTGTGCCCCTCTTCGCTTTCAGGAAGCCCCAAGAGGAAACCTAAGCCCCATCAAACCCTGGTTCCTACTCAGTGAAGTGCCTGCTGCCCAGACATGAGGGCCTGAGTCCAACACCTACATAAAAACCATAGCAGCACACACTCATACACTTGCCATACACTTGCACATGCACACACATGCAGACACACAAAGTACAAATAAAATCCTGGAAACTGAAATTCAGAGATTTCTGTCTATATAAGTTTTTATTCCATATGTTCTTCAACTATCTGGTTGATCAAAACTAGGAATTATAGATGAATGCATGAGAGACAGCATAATTCTACTGTTGGAGGGAATATCAAAAATGAAACATTTTGGCTTATGGTCCATACTGTTTTTTTGTTGTTGTTGTTTTGCCATGTGCTTCCAGCTGGTCATGTGGTCACCCAGCACCCTTCTAAGCTTGACAGAGCAGCCAGTACTAAAGCATGGGGAGAGGGGCGATGGGCCCAAGAAGCTGAAAACCTTAGCTGAGATTCCAGCCACTGTCCTTACACTGTAAGATTCTGAGGCTGTCACAACCTTTAAATTTTGTCCATTGTGATTGCTTTGGCCTATTCCTTTATTAAAGTGTCACAAACTACCAAGCATTGATACTTATGATCCTTCAGAGTACTTTAGAGGGTCTAAAGGATCCTTTCAATTATCAAAGGGCAATGGGTATTGGAGTGGAATGTTTCAAGGTATCTGTCTCCTGTCGTACAAAAACTTCTCAAACCTAATCACCCCAGACTGAAAGAAAACAGTTCTAACAGTGTAAATTCTCAAAGTTTTAGAGCCAGATCTTCCTCATGAGAAATGACAGGTGCCTTCATGTGATACATTTAATAGTAGCAAGCAAACTGTGTTTAATAGAAGTCTTAATACTGAGAACTGAATTTGTAATACACTGTTCCATTACTATATTCAGTATCCTATGCCCTTTCAGTTCCTCCAAGTTGCACATTATATTTATTATGTTTAATAAAGAAGAATCCGGAAGTTAGAGGATGTCTTTTTAGTATCTCACAGGTAAAGAAAATTTAAGTTTATGGCTTTTCTCTTTTTTGTTGTTGTTGTTGTTCGAGACAGGGTTTTTCTGTGTAGTTTTGGTGGCTGTCCTGGAACTCGGTCTGTAGACCAGGCTGGCCTCAAACTCACAGAGATCCGCCTGCCTCTGCCTTCCAAGTGCTGGGATTAAAGGCGTGCGCCACCACCGCCTGGCGGCTCTTCTCTTTCTTACAGCACATGTGTTCCAGAGAAATTTAGTTTATCATAGAACTGTGTTTTTATATTTTAAGATAATAAACAATTTTGTTATAACAATAGTTTTAATACATGTTTTAGCATGTAGAATCATGACATAGAGCAACTTTGGATGAGTTTATTCCAGTGCTTTATGCAGAACTGAATTTCAGTAATAAGCAGTTATTTTATGATGTAAGCCACTCCCAGCCATGCCATTGTTTGGACATGTTATAGCTGTTTCATTTTAAAATATCCAGATTCTTTTACCACTTTATTATATTTCATTTTCCTTCTTTTAGCTGGAGTCTCATCATGTGGTCTGGCCTGCATTGCACTCTTGATTCTCCTGCTCCAGCCTTCCAAGTCCTAGGACTAGAGGTGTGCGCCACCATGCCCAGATACTACTTTATTTTTTGTGCATGAAGAAATGTGCGTGTTCAAAAATAATTTAATATTCAGAATTATGTATTTTATATATAATTAAATCTATTTATGTCATTCTCATATACTCTCCAGATTTAACTTTCACAGCTAAGCAAAGAACTCCATGTTGCTTCAGTGATAAAGAAACTTTGGTGGGCTTCATTAAAGCCAAATCAGCTCTAAAATCAAGTATCGTGTTGTGAACTAATTGGGAGAGTTGGCAGCCAACTCAGGAAGACCCTGGGTGAATAACTCAGGAGTGAGATTGTCTGTATTTCTCATTGCCTTTCTTTCAATGAGCTGCCCCTTTTCAAACTGCCCTGGGCCTGCAGGAGAATCTGATATTCCTGAAGGCCTAGGGGGAAAAGATGTAGTCCTTCAAATGTGTGACTTAATTTTGTTAAAGAAAACATGTAAAAAGGGAAGACTAGAGGATGGCATTTTTTTGTAAAGAAAAGTAAGTTCATAATATTTTAAACATGTATTTAACTATTTTACAACCTTGTTTTGACTTTTCCAAGTGTCTGATCATTTAACAGAATTACTTAGCATCTATCATGTATGTAAAAAGCTTTATAGCCGGGCGGTGGTGGCGCACGCCTTTAATCCCAGCACTCGGGAGGCAGAGCCAGGTGGATCTCTGTGAGTTCGAGGCCAGCCTGGGCTACCAAGTGAGTTCCAGGAAAGGCGCAAAGCTACACAGAGAAACCCTGTCTCGAAAAACCAAAAAAAAAAAAAAAAAAAAGCTTTATTAGACATGTTGTCCCTGAATATATTTTGTTAAAATACACTGTGGTCGCTGGGTGGTGGTGGTGGTGGTGGCGGCGGCGGCGGCAGCGGGGCACGATTTTAATCCCAGCACTCGGGAGGCAGAGCCAGGCGGATCTCTGTGAATTTGAGGCCAGCCTGGGCTACACAGTGAGATCCAGGAAAGGCTCCAAAGTTACACAGAGAAACCCTTTCTCAAAAAACCAAAAAAAAAAAAAAAAGAAAGAAAGAAAGAAAATACACTGTGGTCAGTCATACTGACCATGGATGTAGAGATTCAGGGGTGTTTTTTTTTTCACCAAAAAATTATCACAGTTTTGTAAAGTTTGTTGAAATAAACTGTATCATTATATCATTTTGTGTGTGTTTTTATGGGTAAGACATTTTTTTTATTGGTGCAGACTACCTCAATCGGAACCAAGGGGAGTGTATTGTTTCTAATATGTGTGCAGGTTAGTACACATTATATAGTTTGTCCAGCTGTTCCAGCCACCACAGTTCTTACACTAAGCATGACCCTCAGGCCTCTCACTTGTCTGCTCCCACACCTTTGTCTTCTGTTTCTTTCAGTTCTTTTCTCCTAGCTGAGAGTCTCCATCCAGTGGGTTCTCAACCTCTGGTTATGACCCACTTGGCAAACCTTTCTCCAAAAACATTTACATTACAATTCATAACAGTTGCAAATTATAGTTATTAATTAGCAACAAAAAATAATTTTACATTGGGGGTCAGCACAACATGAGGAACTGCATTGAAGGGTCACAGTGTTAGGAAGGCTGAGAGGCACTGCATCCATCACATTAATAATAGTAGCATTATTATCAATACCCTGACCTCTCTTTCTCTCTATTTTATTAAGTGCAGAAAAATTCAACAAGTTCCTAACACTGTTCCAGCGGAACAATCCTAGTGTTCTGTATTTGCACACTAGCAGTCAAATGCTGTGAAGAACAGGTCATACATGGGGTTGGTGAGATGACTGAGTAGAGGAAGTTTTTTGCCATGCAAGCCTGGTGACCAGTTAGATCCCAGGAACCTACATAAAGGTGGAAGGCAAGGAGGACTGACTCCCGGACAGTTGGCCTCTGACCTCCACAAATGCCCTGCACCCCCACACTCTCACACACTTACACAATAGTAAATGAATAACTTAAAAAGTCATATTACAAGGCGAGTTAGATTGATTATGAACTCATGATTGCCTGCCTCAACTATGGCAGTCTTAACTTCAGTTGTCTGTTAAATCCACTGTCCTAACTGGGGTCTCTATGGCTGTGATGAAACACCTGACCGAAAGCAACTGGGGAAGAGTCTATTTGGCTTACACTTTCATATGTTCCAACTTCCTGTTCATCACTGAAGGATGTCGGGACAGGAACTCAAGTGGGGCAGGAACCTGGAAGCAGCAGCTGATCCAGAGGCCATGAAGGAATCTGCTTACTGCTGGCTCCCCCTGACTTGCCCAGCCTGCTTTCTTATAGGACCAGCAGCCTAGTGATGACACCACCCACAATGGGCGGGGCCCTCCCCGCATCTACCTCTAATTAAGAAAACACACTACAGGCTTGCCTACAACCTGGTCTTACAGAGTCATTTTCTTAATTGAGGTTCCCTCCTCTCAGATGACTTTAGTTTGTGTCAAGTTGAAATAATCTAGCCAGCACATCCACCATTGTTTTCTGTGTCTTCTCTCCTCCCTACCAGTACCCTCATTTCCAAGCCCCTGAAACCCTAAGTCTAGAGCCTAAGAAGTTGGCCATAGAATTCTGTATAAACTGATGACATGACTGCTCTGTGGTCTGGTTAAAGGGGAGGTTTTTAATCGCAGACATGAGAGAGAATGGCCAGAGGGTCTGGAGGAGTCCAGAGCAGAGAGAGAAAGTAGTAGACAGAACATGGCCAGCAGGCTGGACCTGGCCAGGAGAGAAGCAGCAGCAGGGAGAGAAGGAGAAGAATGGAAGAGGGGGCATGGCAGAGCAAGTGGGGGAAAGGAAGGAGAGAGGAAGGAGCATAGCCAAAATAGCAGCGTTAGAAGGAGAATGAGTAGCTGGGGGCAGGGAAGCCTGTGAGCTGGGGAAGTTTAGGGTAGGGGAAGAGGTGAGAAGAGCTGGGGTGCTAACATGGACTTTGAAATGTGTAATAAGTACTTGTGATGCTGAGAGACCTGGAGGGCAGCATGTGCTTGTGTGCTAATAGGCACCATAGATAGCCATATGTCCCTCCTGCCTTTTGGAATCTGGGGAAATGGAGTTTCCTTTGGACCTGACATTCCAGCCTTGTTGATGATAAAGGGTGATGCAATCTCTTCTGTAACTGCTTCTCAGCTGAAATTAGGATGTCATTGTTGGGTGCCCATGAAGCTGGGATGTAGGTCAAAGGCCAGGCTGGAGAAAGGATTTAGGCAATGGCAGAGGAGATTTGTTTTGCTGCCCAGGTTCTGCAGGACCACCTCGGGCTGTCAAAAGTGCAGGCTGCGTTTGAGCAGTCTGGAATGTTGGTCTAAAGCAGGGCCTCAAACCAGTAGGCAATGGCAGGAGACCTGAAGAAACTCCGTCAGAAGCATATGGTTTGCATTGGCTTTCCCCAAGTTCAGGGAGCTCAGGTTTTGCAGAACCACCCGGGGCTGGCAGGTTGCAGGCAGTTTGGAGCATTTTGCAGACTGTGTTTGATTCCTCGATGGTGTCTGTCGGCTAAGTGGAAGTCTGCTGGGACAGACAGAGAGACAGAAGGTAAAGCTCAGGAGCTTTGGGGAAAGTCTGTCTTGGGTGTACACTTGAGACTTCCATGCCCTTGGGAGTTGGGGTGGTGGTGGCAGAAGGAGTCCCGAGACCAGGGGAGTGAAGGAACCCACACTCAGGGATAGGTGGGAAAGCCGAAGCTGTCGACTGGCAGGAGTACTTATCCGGAGTCCATTTGACCCGTGACGGGGGTGTCTGGATCCAAGAATTGACTCCCTGAAGCTTACATACATTTTTAAAATTTGCAAAAAGAGATAAAAGTTCTAGATATATTCGCATGACCACCATCTATAATCTGTACTGAAATTCACATTGTAAAGAAGCAGTTAACACGTGTTATTTTGAAACCCCCAAAGACCACTAAGGAGCTGGTTTCCAATGCAAGCACATAAGGGTCCTTTTATTGTCAGGTTTGAACCTGGACCACAGCACAGCGGTGGTGGCGGTGGCGGTGGCGGCGGTGGCGGTGGCGGGGCGGGAGGGGGGGAGGCAGGGATAGAGAGTTTTTATTAGGGAAAGACCACAAGCTGGGAATTACATGCTTTGGCATCTTGGGATTGGGTAGAAGGTATATGGGGCAAGATAATTTCTTAAAACTATTGGTCTAGACTTTCGAGTCAAAACCACAACTTGCTGAACAGGATTATCTGGGCTGCTCAGCAGGATTATCTGGATATCTTAAGAGCCATAGACCACAGACAGAATGTCTGCAGGAGCATACTGCTATGTACCTGTTCTAGTTACCATGGCACATTCCTAAGGTCCTTCCTGGAACTGAGAACAGCAGGTGTCTAAGATGGTGCCCTTCCCTAAGATGGAGTCTGTATTGCCTTCACAGTGTCTGCAAACAGCTGGAGTAGACACATGACTTTGAGCCATAGCAAAGATTTGGGGACCCAAAAGGATGGTTCTGGTTTAAAAGCGTGACCACTCTTTTTTCCCACTCACATATATATTGGGTTTTCGAGACAGGGTTTCTCTGTATAGCCCGACCTGTCCTGGAACTCACTCTGTAGACCAGGCTGGCCTCAGATTCACTGAGATCCACCTGACTCTGCCTTCCGAAGGCTGGGATTAATGGTGTGCACCACCACTGCCAGGCTCCATTCATATATATGACAGAGATGTTTTCAGCATAATGAGAAGCCCTTTTTCTCCCAACATAATATTTTTATTAATTATTTGGGAATTTCACATCATTCACGCTGGTCACACTCACTTTCCAGTTCTCCCAAGTCCTCCTCCACTCTTAAAAAGAAGAAAAACAAACAAACAAACAAACAACTAGTCCAATTTGTGCTGCCTGTATACAATGGCTAGTCCCTTAAAGAAAACTGAGTCCTTCCCCACCCCACCCCATCAATTGTGGAGAGCTACACTTCAGCTTCCTTACCACAATTTTTAAGAGTTCTCTTTGATGGCTTTCTGTCTAGGCTGTTTCTTTTTTTGGAGGTAGGGTAGGGTGAGGGTGGGGGTTGTCACAGAAGCCTTCCATCTCTCTCTCTCTCTCTCTCTCTCTCAACTGTGAGTCTGCAGTCATCAATACCACCACAATGGTAGCTTCCTTGCCCTGTACAGTCAACGGGAGCTGGCATTATGGGCTTCCATGTGGTTTCTGGAAGTAGCACAGACCATGGACATCTGCATGGTTTCTGGCATCAGCATGTGCCAATGGACCTCAGCATGGTACAACGGGTTCTCGACCATGTCGAGAGGAAATGTAGGGACAGGAGATACAAAAGAAAATACACCAAGTCTAGATTCT